CTCAAACGCCTAAAAGACGCTTAAGGAAATATTCAACATCATTACCCATCAGGGAAATGCCAATCAAAATGACTCTAAGATACCCTTACACCAGTCAGAATGGCTAAGATCAAAAACACCAATGATAGCTTATGCTGGAGAGGATGTGGAGTAAGGGGAGCACTCCTCTATTTCTGGTGGGAATGCTAACTTGTACTACCACTTTGGAAATCAGTATGGCGGTTTCTCAGAAAATTAGGAGTCAACCTACCTCAGGACCCAGCAATACCACTCTTGAACATATACCCAAAGGATGATCAAACAAGGACATTTGTTCAACTATGTTCATAGCAGCATTATTTGTAACAGCCAGAGCCTGGAAACAACCTAGATGCCCCTCCACAGAAAAATGGATAAAGAAAATGTGGTACATTTACACAATAGAGTACTACTCAGCTGTAAAAAACAATGACATCTTGAAATTTGCATGCAAATGGATGGAGCTATAAAAAAAACATCCTGAGTGAGGTAATCCAGACCCAGAAAGACAAACATGGTATGTAACTCACTCATAAGTGGCACTAGCTGTAAAGCAAAGGACAGTGAGCCTATAGTCCACAACCCCAGAGAAGCTAAGTAACAAGGAGAACCCTAAGAGAAACACATACATAGATCCCCCTGGGAAGGAGAAATGGACAAGATCTCCTGAGAAAATTGGGAGTGGGAGGGAGAGCAGAAGGGGAGGAGGAGAGGAAACAGAGAGGGTGAGGAGAACTTGAGAGAATGGGATAGTTGAGATGGGGGAAGGACAGAGACAAAGAGAAAGTAGATATCTTGATTGTGGGAGTTATTATGGGGCTAGTAAGAAACCTGGTTCTAGAGAAAGTCTCTGGGATCCACAAGGATGACTCCAGCTAAGATCCAAAGCTATAGTGGAGAGGGTGGCTGAACTGGCCTTGCCCTGTAGGTTGATGACTATCTTAAATGTCATCATAGAACCTTCATCTAGCAACTGATGGAAGCAGATGCAGGTATCCACAGTGGAGCACTGGGCTGAGTTCCCAAAGTCCAGATGAACAATGAGGTAAAGACCATGATTGGGATAACCACGAAACAGCTTATCTGAACTAATGGGAGCCCACCAACTCGGGCCTGACAGCGAGAGAACTAGCATAGGACCAAACTAGGCTCTCTGGATGTGGGTGACAGTTATATGGCTGGGGAATACTGTGGAGCCTGTTAAATATTTTCTGGCTGACATACGTCTCTGCCAATGAAAATAATCCCAATCAGACCAAATTAAAAGACGCTCAAATTTAATAAATGGCAATACTCCCGGGTGGCCCTGGGAAAACACGGAGAGTGGAAGAGAAAAAAGGGGAGACCACGGGAAACTGGGAGACCATGTGTTCATTCTCTGGGAGGGGAGGCAGGTTAAATAGCCTGAGGGAGTGGTCTTGACTTTCCCTGGGAAGGGATTTCCGTTTGGTGGGCTTTCTCCGAGGTGGAGTTTGGACTGAGGCAACTCCCAGGGGAGGGAGCTAGGAATGGAGTTTTCTGCCCAGCATTCTAAAAATGGATGCCAGGGGGCTGGGGTGAAGCCGCCAACTAAACAATCCATACTTTTTGTATAAAGTGGTGTTAGGGAGCCGAGGTGATGTTTTTGACCAAACATTTCAGACTTTATGGATAAAGGGGTGCCAGCCAGCTGAGGTGAAGCCTCTCAACCAAACAGGGCCACTGGCAGTGAGACCAGGATTTATCCCTACTGCTTGTTATGGCTTTTTGCAACCCATTCTCTTTGGATGGATACCTTGCTCAGCCTAGATATGGGGGGAGGCCCTTGGGCCTGCCTCGAAGCAATATGCTAGACTTCATTGACTCCCCATGGGAAGCCTTACCCTCTGAGGAGTGAATAGGGGGTGGGATGGGGAGGAAGCTGGAGGCAGCAGGAGGAGAGAAGAGAGTGGGAACTGGGATTGATATGCAAAATGGGAAAATATATTTTTTTAAAAATTAATTAATTAATTTTAAAAAAGAAAAGAGAAAGGGAAAACCCCTCCCCGGGCACTCAAGAAGCAGAAGCAGGTGAATCTCTATGAGTTCAAGGCCAATCTGGTTCCGGAACAACCAAGGCTACATGGGGAAACCCTGTCTTGAAAAACCAAGAAGAAAAAGGGGGAGGAGGAGGAGGAAAGGAAAGAAAGAGAGAGAGAAAGAGAGAAAGAGAGAAAGAGAGAAAGAGAGAAGGAAGGAAGGAAGGAAGGAAGGAAGGAAGGAAGGAAGGAAAGAAGGAAGGAAGGAAGGAAGGAAGGAAGGAAGGAAGGAAGGAAGGAAGGAAGGAAGGAAGGAAGGAAGGAAGGAAAGAAGAAAGAAAGAAAGAAGAAAGAAAGAAAAGAAAAATCCATTACAGGTGAACCCAGCCACTTGAGTTTTAGTTAATTCTAAATGTAGTTGTTTTGGAATATTACTTTAAGATGGGTTAAATTTGTCTATGCTATGGAACATTTGTTTAATGGTGCAAAGATGTGTTGCATTCTTTTATATTGCATTTGTTTAGGTCTGTGAAGCTGCGTTATTTTGCCTGTCTAAAACGCCTGATTGGGCTAATAAAGTGCTGATGTCTACTCTCACACCTTCTATTCAACATTTTATTGGAGACAATATCAATAAAAATTAGCAAAAAACAAACATCTTTGACTCATGTAGCACTTCTTAAAGGTCTCATTTATATTTTTATTTTTATATTTATTGATTAATTTGATTTGATTTTTTTAAGACAGGGTTTCTTTATGCAGCTCTGGCTGTCCTGAGACTCACTCATAGAAATCCACCTGCCTCTGCCTTCCTAGTACTGGTATTAAAGATGTGTGCCACCATGCCTGGCTAGAAGATGTCATTTCTTAATATGATCAGACTGATAATTCTTGGACTTTGAAGGTGTACATTTAAACCACAACACCTAGCCTAGATTATTTTATTGTAGAAGTACAACAGACTATGAATATCATCAAATTGTTGCACCAAACAGGAATCATATATTCTTCTAGGAAATACAAACTTCTTTGGGAATAGTAAGCAAATCATTGGCTACCTGGCTGTAAGGAAGGAGGGAAAAGAGATTACCAGGGTCTGATAAAACTTTCAAGGCGATAGATACGCTGTTGCCTTCATTTTGGTGAAGACTTCATAGTTGCTTGTGTATTTATGAAACCTTATCTAAGTATGATTAAATCAAAGTTTAATTACCACACTTTAAACATGTAATTTATTGCATGTCAAATTCTAACACATGTGGTTTTATTTTTTAAAACACATAGAAAAACACAACTATGTAGAGTTGGGCAAATGATTTGAGACATATTAGAAAGAAAGGTACAGAAATGAGCACTTCAAACATAAAAACATATTTAATGTAATTAGTCATCAAGGAAATGATCCCAGAAATCACTTCACACCCACTTGAATGGATAAAAATAAAGGTTGGCAACCCGAAAGTTGATGAGGATGAGAAAGAAAGTGAACTCACACATTTCTGTAGGCGTCTCAATTGCTTAAAACATTCTGGCAGTTGCTAATAACACGTACAGCTACCCTATGACGTGGCAAATTCCCCTCCCAGGCTTTTACTCAAGAAAAATTAAAGCTCATGTTCACACAAAAACATACACAACTATTTATATAGTGAATAACAACCCAAATTGGAAACAGCTCACATCGTGACTGAATCAACTAGCTGTACAATGATATGCGACTCAGCAATGAAAGGAAAGGGAGCATATTTCAACAATAGAGAGCGAGCTCAAAAATAGCATAGTAAAGGAAAGAATTCAGACACAAAACCGTATAAAATAGTATATACGTTCTGATTCCATTCTCATGCAATAGTAATAAATACACTGTCAATTTTGAGAAAATTTAGAATAGTGCTTTCCTTGTGGAATCATGCTAGAAATGGGCTGGTATAGGATGCATGGGAAATTTCCAAACTCCTCATAATGGTTTATATCTAGATAGGGGTTTAGGAAAGGAATTTGTACTATTGCAAGGCAAGCACTCTTCAGGCTGAGTTAATTCTCGGGCACCTGATCTTCCTTTCTTATGCTGGATATGCCAAGATTATCTGGATGGCAGGGTGTTTACCTTTGATGCTGATTTTGTCAGCAAATGCTGCAGTTTCACAGAAGCATGCACACATTTCCTTCCTGACCACTTCAAACATCACCTGAATGGATATTGGATGAGCTTCTCATCTCTCTTCTGAGGGCTTTATATTGATCTTTGTTTATTAGTGACTTACTCGGGAAACCACTTTAAGAAAGCAGTTACTAGTGTCACCAAGGATGCACAAAGCAAAACAATGAAATTGACCAGAAAAGTTATCTTGAACAGGCAACTACTTGCAGCACCTCTAAACCAAGACACTGGTTTTGGGATTCATGATATAACCTGCTATTCTGAAATTGGGGTTACTGTTTATTTATTGGTCTGTGCCCCCTACTATACATCCAATACTCTCAAAGGAGCTCTGAGGTGCCTGATGTGTGGCTTTTAAGATAGGCATAAGAGTTTAGTTTTGTTCACGATTGTATTCTCGGTGTATGGCACAATGAAGGCTCATACATGACTTTATGAGGGTTTCTGACTCCTGCACTCTTTTCTTGAGTGTCTTCCCCCAGCTCTCCCATCATTCTGAAAGTCTTAGCCTTGTCAATTTCTTTATTGTCTCCACTACGAATCAATTTATTTTGCTCATTTATTCATTCATCATTCGTTTTTACATTCTTTCCGTGCTTTTTATCTCATCACCCAGGATCCATGTATTTTGCTCTTCCATTCTCACCTACCCCACCTCCTTTCCTCACCCCGCCCCAGACACGCCCCCATCCTTCCCACCCCATTTCATGCCAATGGTAGCCTACAGGCCGGGCGGGACCGAGGCCGGGGCGGGGCTTCACTCTCAGTACCCCAGGCGGCCCCCCACCCTCCACCCCCAACACCCCGGCTCCGGAAACGCGCCACCGAGCTGCAGGGCTCCGCCAGGCAGGCGCTGGCGGCTCCTTGGCGCTTCCTGCCACGCCGGGCCTGCTTGCACAGCGCCAGCTCCGCTTCTGCGAGGGCCCAGAGTCAGGTGCTGCGGGCCGGGTGAGCGTGCAGACCCCGAGAGGGACGTGCAACTCGAGTGATCATGAGAGATGTGTGCGATCAAGGATGTGCGGCCCAAAAGAGCATGCGGGGCGGCGGGAGGATGTGCTTGGGGGCCTGAGTGAGTGCGTGGACCACGGGAGAATATGCGGAGGAGAGGGCGTCTCGCAAAGAGGAGAGCTGCTCCGCCTTGGGGCAAGCCAAGGGCCGAAGGGGACAGGTCTCTGGTGGTGCGTGAGCATGGAAAGGCCCTGAGGCCTTCTCGTGCAGGGTTGGGGGCAGCGGTCAAAGGCGAGAATTGCGAATGTGCTGAGGTCTGTGCTGCTCTTTGAAGGATGCTAAGAATTGGGAACCGGTCAGGAGCTGGTGGTGGACGCTCCCCACAGCCACCATCGACGTGGAGGCCACAGGGATTGGCGCGGTGGGGGAATGGCTGAAGAGACTTTTTCCCAGAATGGGGGAGGGGGTTGCACCTCTGGGGCCCAGAAGAAGGTTCTGGCTTGGGGATACCTACCTTTTCATTTGAGTTGGGGTTGTGTGAGAATAATGGGAGCAGGCCTGTTGCCTGCTGCAGAGAGCTGAGGGTGCAGAAGGGACTGTTTGCTGGATGAAGAGAGCTTCTACTGTGGCCTTCCTGGGAGTCACATTTTCTGGCGCCACTCCATTGCCCCCTTCTCCTAAACTCCTTTGCTGGTTCCTGCAGTCTGTATTTGGTGATTAATTACATGTCATTTTACACACACGAGTACTCCTACTTGCCTGCTGCCCAAAGCCGATAGTCCTTTTCAGCGTCCCCCCCCCCCCTCATTCCTGGCCCTCTTCCCAGAGGGCTCACCCTGTACCAGCTGACTCTCTAGCCAGCCTTGGACTCAGAGGCAGGCAGCCCCCTCCGGTGTCCTTGGTCAGTAGAACATTTCCTTCTAATCCTCAGCCTTTACATTTTCCTTTAGGAGACAATTTTGTATAGGACTAGTTGAATAGCACCTCTCCTAGGTAGGACCACTTGCCTTCTCCCTTCTCCCATTGGGCCTTGTTATAGAAACAACATTCACGGTGTCTGACATCGTCTGGTCCATTGCCCCAAAGTGGTCCTGGACCTAGATTTAGAATTCCATGGCACAGTGATTTCTAGCCTTTTGTCAGTGATAGACCCTTTAGAAAGTCAGCTAAAAAGTGAGTTCTCTTGCCTGAGGTCTGATCACCAGCACAGCTTCAGAAGGAAGCTCCTGGATGGGAAAACGGTCTGATGAGACATGAGGGAACCTCCAAATCTAGACAGCCCCAATGTCTACATGTTGAAATATGCCAATTCCATGACACCCACCCAGACCTGCTGTTCTGCCACTAGATTTTTCATAAGCCTAGCTTCTAACACAATGATCCAGCCCTTCCAAAACTGTTTGGGTTCTTTGGGTGACCTGGGGCAGCTGTATAACCATTCACCATATCCCCAGTTTGGAATCTTTTATATTTGCACAGTGTAACGTCAGTGATTCTATACTTACAATTTATTTTGAATTTTAGAAAGATATCAGTGCATATTCTTGGAGAAATGGAAACATAAATCTTTCCTCAATTAAACACAACAAACACTACAAAATCTCCTTATGGTCTACCTTCTGGCTTTTAATAGAATGGAATAAAGAGGAAAACCTAAACAGAAAGGCAGGTGCCCAGGCAATGTGAGAGAGAAAACACATACAGACAAAAGATAACACAGGCACAAATAGCCCAAGAGAAACAGACTTTCCTGGTAAGACAGCCATCACTTTTGGCCTTTTAGGAGTCTCTGCTTTTTGAGTAGCAGCCAACTTTCACAGTACAAGATGGACCTATGAGCTTCTTGCCCACCTCCTGGCCTGCCAGGTTCATTTGGGAACATACATGTCAGGCGCACCTGTAGCCCCGGGGCCCACTCAGTAGGCCTTGCACCCTGGACTCACCTAGGCACACCCAGACCTTGGCAGTGCCGGTTCAGTTACACAGCTTGTCCTGCCCTTGAGCGCTCGTTACCAACGGACAGGTTCCTGGAAGATGCACACATGAGCCTGCTTCTGTTCACCTGAGTTCTTTCAATCCAACAGGTGAGACCGTCCCTGCTGGACTAATCTCTTGGAACTGGTCTAAAACAAGATGAGTCATCCCTGTGTGTCTCTTTTGGGTAAGTCTAGGTGTTTGCAGAATGTGTCTGCTGTGCTGCAGCAAGGCCCATGGGTAGCAGCACAAGACAGTGAAGACGTGTTTGGGTTCCGGAAGCTCATATATGCTAATCTTGATGAACTACTTAGCCAGAAACAATTCTGGCAATCTTAGACACAGTGCCAGGCAAAGAGGTTGCCGGGCAAGGAAAATGGGGAGACCAGGGAATCACAGTGTGGGAGAGGGAGCTGAAAGCACCCATTAGAACCAGATCTCTTTCGAGTGTTCACAACCTTGAAACATATTTGCCCTGGCCCTAAAGGGAACTGAACAGTTAAATTATATGCTCTCTTCTAGCTTGGTTTTCTGGTGATGTGATAAAACACCTGATCAAAAGCAACTAAGAGAGGAAAGGGTTTATTGGGCTTGAGGGAAGCCAGGACAGAAAGCATGGTGGAGCGCTACTGACCTGCTCCTGGTTCACTACTTAGCTAGGCTTTTTATACAGCTCGGGCTCTGCTGCCTAAGGACGGGCCCCTCCAACATCAACTATCAACCAAGAAAATCTCTCTTAAACATGGCCACACTACATTTTGATTGATGGGTCTTAGTTGAGTGACTTTGCTGCCACAGAAAGATAATGCCTGTCCAGGGAAGTATAAAAGACACCAAATTATTCACCAGTTTTTATGATATACGTTGTTTTAGCTCCATGTTGAATTCAACTCCCAATTTCTGTTCTTTCAGGTAAAAATACAGTGATTATTTTGGGTCCCTTAACATTTGTAATTCCATGCAATAAATTCAAATAATTTGCTTAGGTAAAACTTACTTTATGGCTGAATAACACTTTATTGTGTCTTATACCGTATTCTATTTATCTGCTGTTGGATACTCAGGCAAATACTATGAATAATACTGCAGTAAACACATATGTGGAAGTATCAATGACTATACATTAACACATTTTTTTAAAAATGTACATATTGTTCTGAAGCAGGATTTGCTCGGAAGGTGAGGTCTGCTGTTCTAGAACTCACAGTTGGCCAGCCCCGCAATGAACACTTACACGGTTGGCGTGCGTGGTTTCTCGCAGCAGATGGTTATTAAACAGCTGCAGCAGCCATGGACTTGGCTAGACCCAACATGAAGTTTGCAGTTGACCTTGACAAAGCCTTTGTGTCCCATGGAAAGAAAGACAGTCTTATTTGCCTTGAAAGTTTGTTTTCCTGCGGGGATTCCCCCAGCTTCCTTTCCCACTTACTAGTATGCCATAGAAAATTCTTTTTTTTTTATTTTTTAAATTTATTTATTTATTAAGGATTTCTGCCTCGTCCCCACAACCGCTTCCCATTTCCCTCCCCCTCCCCCGATCAAGTCCCCCTCCCTCATCTGCTCGAAGAGCAATCAGGGTTCCCTGACCTGTGGGAAGCCCAAGGACTGCCCACCTCTATCCAGGTCTCGTAAGGTGAGCATTCAAACTGCCTAGGCTCCCACAAAGCCAGTACGTGCAGTAGGATCAAAACCCACTGCAATTGTTCTTGAGTTCTCAGTATTCCTCATTGTCCGCTATGTTCAGCTAGTCCGGATTTATCCCATGCTTTTTCAGGCCTAGGCCAAGGATTCAGGGTATGCTTTTCTATCCTGAATAAAAGTGTCTTATGTTCAAGGTTAGCGTTGCCCTCCACGTCCACTGGATGCACTCCAATGACTTTCATATTCTATATGGAATTGATTGGACCTTGATCGCCAAAGATCCATTTCAGAAGGCAATGGTCACCTGTGCTTGTCACTGTTGTCACAGCATCCAGCTTCTTTTCTAGATTATATTCCATCATTTTAAAGTGGAATAGTTGTACAACACAGACACTAAGTGACCCAGTTGTCTTCAGGATCGGTGGATTCATGTCTATTATCATTTTTAAGTGATTTTCCTATACCTAGGATAAGCCTTTTTCCTGCTACACTTAGCTAATTGCATAGAGATTTAGTTACTTTTGTGAAAGCAGGGCCCACCTTTTCCCTCTTGTTTTCATGAGTACCTTTTAAATTATCTCTGTGTGGTCAGGGGCTCTGTTATTGTGGGTGGCAGTCACATAGCCACCAGGAGCTAACGTGCTCTCAAGCCAAATCCCTAGGGTGAACTAGTACAGGAAGGGCTGCTTCTATTGCTATATAGGAAGAATAATTAACAGTTCTTTTAGAGTTGTAGCTCCACGGCTTTAACAGTTTATCATGCCACTTAAGAAAAAACACTTCAGTGGGATTAGTTCCATTAAAGGTGTGTGTGTGTGTGTGTGTGTGTGTGAGAGAGAGAGAGAGAGAGAGAGAGAGAGAGAGAGAGAGAGAGAGAGCGAGAGAGAGAGAGAGAGAGCGAGAGAGATAGGAAAAGCATAATGTATTTATGCAGCGAGGCTCTGCAATGGCATAATGATAGTATGGTTTAAAGGTAGCTGTGAAACATAGGCCTACATCATGCCATGTCCTACATGTTGCCAGGAGCTGCTACAGACACTGGGAATTTAGGGGTAGCCAATGGAGAAAAGGTACTGTCCTGTTAGATCAGATTTTCTTTTTATGAGAAAAACAAGCAACTTCAAAGGAGAATTTTTCATTAGTGAAAATGTTTGGAGGAAACTGCCAGGGCTGGAGAATAAAGAGGTTTTAAGGAAGTGACATTTGCATTAAGGTCTGAATTATTAGATGAAACCTCCTACGATAAGAGATGGTATTCTTGGCAGGTTCACAGGCTTTGAGGGCCACAACCTTGGCATCTGTATATCTGCGTGAAAGTCAGTGTGTCTGAATTGGTTGATTTTGAAGGGGGGCAGGATATGCATTTGTGCTCTAGACCAAAGCTTATTACTGGCTTGAAGGCAAGAAAAGGTTTATAGTAGACCATCTTTTCCCTGAAGTACATACATGATGTGATGTCCCATTTCACTTGAAGTGAGTTGTTTTAAAAACAAAATCGTTTATAAATTTATGATCAGTTCATTGTGTTTGTTTAAGAAGCCCAAATCAGAAGAATTTTATTAAGACAGAGGATCACCGCTTTGGTGGCACTGGGACAAAGAGAGGGTTTGTCCACTGAATATCTCTTCATGAACTCACACATTTGGATAAACACTTTTGCTAAACAGCTAAAAATGCGTAGGAGGGCTTGCAAGGACTTTTGGGTGACATTAGACCTTCTTCTGCTCATATCTTTCTATAAAGCTGATAGCTTAAGGAGATGGTTCCAAGAAGGCTGTGGCTAGACTTCCTGGTCACTCCCCCTTCACAGGCTGCTGACAGGTTTCCACTAGTCCTCTTTGTTTCACTGCATATGGGTATCCTAAGAAATGCTGATCTTTTTATATGCCCTCAAGGGCCATTCTCCTGCCATCTCCTTGGTCTCAGCCCTGTTCTCTGGCATGCTGACCGTCTGTCTTATCCCACATTTACCTGCCAAACGCTATCTAAAATTGGTCTTTTCTGATATCAATAAAATTCAGCTTGATGTCTAAAAAGCCACACATTAAAGAAACTGAAAATGTGTCTTTCCCGACCTTATCTCTCTTCCTTTGTAGCTACACAAACATTGAATCAATGTGCTTATTCTAGCTCCAGGTCAGACTCAGTGTTTTCCTTTTTTCTATGAAAATGTGTTTTCTCTGCTTTCTTTCTCCTCTTTGGGTTTTCAGGCAAATGTTATCCCTACCTGTATCTTCACATTTTTGTAATCTGCTGCATGTTATTCTAGTCTGGCCACCTGTTGATTTTTAAATGAAACCTTTCAAGTTTTCTTCTTGCTCTGAGTTCTAGGACCTTTCAGTAGAATTTTCAGAACTCTGAGCCAGCCTGGTCATTCACCTTCTCCCCACATACTTTTTTTGTGTATTGAGATTAGACTCTTCCTATTGGTTACAGAATACTGTTTTCTGTGCTTTTTCTTTTAACATGTCTGTGTCCTTTACACCTTTTTAGACAGTATGCACTCTTCTTTTTTAATACATTCTAACAATCTGTCCTTCTAATTGAAGTGTGTAACCCATCATTTAGCGTAATGATCTGTGTTTAAGTTTGCTGTCCTGCTATTTATTTCCATTTGCCCCATCTCTTCTCTTCCCTTTACTTTTCTTATATGTTTAGCAACTGCATTTTCTTGAAATGATCAATTAAATTTCAAAGATTTTGAAATGCAGAAGGTGAAAGTCTTATGTTTCCCTATGGCTTTACACTCTTCGTGTATTTCTAAATCTGATTCCATTTTCTTCCACCTGAATGTTTTCTTTTAGTATATTCTTTTTTTTTTTTAAGTTTTTCGAGACAGGGTTTCTCTGTAGCTTTTTGGAGCCTGTCCTGGCACTAGCTCTTGTAGACCAGGCTGGCCTCGAACTCACAGAGATCCGCCTGCCTCTGCCTCCTGAGTGCTGGGATTAAAGGCGTGCGCCACCACCACCCGACTCTTTTAGTATATTCTATGGTACAGAGCTGCTAATGACAAATTGTCTAAACGTTGGCTTTTGTATAAAATATTTATTCTTCATTTTTGATTAATATTTTTTCTGACTATAAAATTTTATAAGACTTAATTGCTTTCTTTCTTTTGCATCATTTCTTTCCTCCAGGTACTTTTAAGAGTTTTCTCTTACCATTTTTAGAAATTGAATTTTGATGGTAGCTCTCTCTCTGGCTTCATTTAGGTAACAGTTGTTGCCATGTCTTCATGTTTTCCACTGTTTCTCATAGTATCAAATCTACTAATGACACCCAGTGAAATTTTTAATTTTATATACATTTATCTGCAAAAATTTCATTTGGTTCTTTTTATTTTATATCTTCTGTATCTCCCCATGTCCTTGTTTTTCTTTCAGTGCTGGGGCATAATTAAATTATCATTTTTCTTTATCTATTAGTTCTATCCATTTTTGGATGCTTCTTTGACTGTTATCTTAACTGTTGGTGGCATATTTTGTGTTTCTTGGCAGTTCAATTTTTACTGGGAATTACATGTTATAATGATTAGTTTGTTGAGTGTCTAGACTTTGAGGGTTACAAGTAGTTATTTGTAGGTCACTTTGATGTCATTGGGGCCGGTACTAAGTTTTTATAAGGCAGATCTTTTGTAGTTTGGACTTTAAGGATAGACAGATCTTACCGTTACGTCATGGTCCCTCTGTATTGGCCTCTGAATGTCCCTGGGAATCATAAAAACTCTATGTGAGTTGGTAAGATCTTGGGAACTGTTCACCTTACAGTCCTTGGGAGTTTCATTCAGTACTTGTAGTCAGAAAAGATTCAAGGGAAGCCTTTTCACTTCTTTTTCCTACATAGCACAGTGCTTTCTGAACTCTGCTCTGCAACTTCCCTCTTCCCCTGCCACCCTGAAGCTTCTGTTGAGGTTGCTAAGCTCTGTCCATTTGCTTTCACCCCTCCTACACTCTCATTCTGGACATTGCTACCAAGCAGAGCACTAAACTGGTGACAAGACTTGCCTTGTTTCTCTTGCAGTCTTGATCCTGGGCTTCCTACTACCCTGGTATTAAAAACTGTTGTTGAACACATGTTTGTAACTTGTTACTCTACCATGGCCATACATGTGGACATTTTCATTTACCTTTTCAAAGATGCCATAGTTAAGTCTTTCTGAGTACCTGGGGTTTTGTTGTCCTTCAGATAATGCTAAAATGCTTCCTTTTCACTTAATATTGAGTTGTATTGAGTTGACATCAGAATGTGGAGGAAAAGGTCACCCACATACACACGTAATGTTTTCTTTATCAATGTAGTGTTTGAATAACTTTTCTTAGAAGTACTTTTCTCCAGGTATTTTTTCAACTTCCCATTTTGTTGAATAACATAAGAGAGTTCTTCATGGTTTTCTCCCAATGACTTATTATACTAGGGTGTACTTTTAAAGACCCCACTGCTAGTAAAGAAGTTCAGGTTCTTGCTCTTTGTCATCTCTCTTCCTTTCTGTGGCCTCATCAGTTTCAAGTGTCCATGAAAGGACCCCTTATCTCTGAGTTAGTTCTTCTGGTACTCTCTTTAGTGTGCTTCTTCCCTTTATAGTATGAGTATTGATCTCACCCAGGCTTACTTTAGGGAAACTCTGTAGTCAGCCAGTCTCTGGCAGCTAGTCTTCCTACCAGCAGCTCTCTGTAGCTATCTCCGACTCTGCCTAGACTGGCATTTGTTTGTCTTATCTTGCCCTCCTCTGGCCTACCTATATTAATTCTTTCCCAGCCTACTTTCCTGCTGTTTCATATATGTTTTCTCAGGCACACACATGCTCTGCCTTGTCATTCTGCCCCGCCTGAGAGAGAAGACTCTGTAAGATTTAAAACTACAAAATAGGAAGTCACTAATGCCATCCCAGGGGACCCAGAAACAGGGCTGTCATTACTCACAGCTTTTTTCACTTTCCTTAGCTCTACCTGCTCCCCAAGACGGAGCCCCAGGAAACCAGGTCCTGGCAGTCCCTCTTGAGATGCCGGAGGCCCAGGTGAGCTGTGCTTCCCTCTTGCCTTGCTTGAGATTCTTGTCACTGCTCCCTGATTTTGGCCTCAGCCTTTGCTTCTTGCCCAGCATGACTTGCAGCAGAGTGTGAGCCCTGGCTACTGCCCTTTTTCCTGTCCTCTGCTTCTCTCCCATAGGCTGCCAAGGAATGGATGTCCAGTGTGCTTATGATGCCCATTGTATATGTGAGAAAGCTAAGTCTGTGTTCTTTGGGAAGACAATGGGAGTCCCATGCTAGACAGCCCAGGTCTCATTGTGCTTGATCATGTTTTCTTTCTAGGACTCCTTGGGATTGTGGTTGGAGCTCCACATTAGTAACATACACCGATGTGAATATTTCAGGCCCTATCCTTCTTGCCCCCGACATCACTGGTGCCACCCTTCCTTATTACAGATTAGGTTAAAAGACTGACTATCAATGGATTTATTTCAGGACTTGGTGTCATTTGATGTTGTACCGTGGTACCTCACAGAACAGAACTGGCTGAATCTGAGTCTGAACCTGGAGCAGCAGGCAGTGGCATATTCCAGGACTGTGACCTCCATTGGTAAGGATGTTCCCAGAGCTTTTCAGACTCACCATCTACTGAAAGTGGAGCTGAGGATACATGGCCACCCACACACCATTTCACTCAACAACAGCTCCCCCAACTCCTCATGGCATGGAAAAATCTCTTCATTCCCATCTTTCACTTGAAGGACATTAGAACAGTAGTCAGTGAAATGGCTGAGCAGGTAAAAGTTCTTGCCACAGAAGCCTGCTGACCTCAGTTCAATCCCCAGAAGTAGGAGGAGACAATCAATTTGTGCAAGTTGTCCTCTGACTTCCACAAGCACACCATGGTATGAACATCCACACATAGTCACACACACACTAAAGAAATAAATGCAAAAATTAAAATTAGACCAAACCTGTCATAATTTAGAGTATTTTTAAAATGCAGTACATTGTCTTCAAATAAAAAACATATCAAACATTAAATTGATCAGAACAATGCTATATCTTAACCATAAGGCTGAGATGATAAATTATACCAATATATACAAATAAATGCAATATATATAGTATATATGTACTATATATACTATGGTATATTGTACATACACATACACACACACATAAATTATACCAATCATATGGCCAGTTGATTGAAGGTCATTGTTGAGAGCTCTTGTTTATCCATTAGGTATTTGCATGGGGTGGGGGATTTTTTGAAGAAGGAACAGTTAAGAGTTTGGTTTAAGTGTTGTAGAGGTCTGGGAAGAGCATGACATTCAGCAGTGGGGTACTGGGGTGACTCAGTGAACAAGGAGCTAAGTTCATGTGGCCAAGATGCTAGCTACTGTTTTTCTGGGGCCTCTGCTGAGGGCCCAGAGCCTGCCTCCTTAGAGTCCCCCAGAAGGAGCTGGTACTTGGGAAATGCATTTGAACTGCATGTGTGACTTACATAAGAAAGTCATAGACAGCCCAGGAGATTTGGAGGGGATCTCCTTTGACAGCTCTTCTCCTGTTCCTTCATGCTGATATCACCAGCCGTCTTCTTCCGTTAACAGGAGTTCCTGTTGTGAGTCCTGCTTTGGTATCTCACCTGTCACAAGGACAAATTCTGTTGGTATCAGATCCATCCCTCAACACAGATCACACTAAGCACCCTGGTGAGCATAAAGGGAACATGAAGAAGCATGAGGAAATTTGGGAGAGGGGTACAGATTTGGGTTGTGTGGGGCTGCTGAGCTCTTAGGGTTGATGTTTCCAACTCAGGAAGACCAGCTAAGATTGGGGAGTCTACAGTTAGTGTCAAGAGGTCCCCTGAAGCTCTGGTAATGAGTTGTGACTGTACCCTTGCTCAAAGCTCCTTTGATAAGCAATGGCCACAATCAGGACTCCCCCACATTTCCCTTTGGCGCTTGCTTCTGCTAGCTTACAGGCCCTCCCTTGCTGGTTCTCAGCAGTTGCAGGAGAGGGGTTTATCAACAAAGGAAAGTAACCTTTTTCCTGGGCCCTCTATAAACTGTTGTGTGTCATTTATCATTGTAGAAAGCTCCTCCGTGACCTCCCACCAGAAGATGGCTGAAGAAGCCCAGCTGCAAGAGATGGCGTCCAGGAGCTCCCCGAGGGCCAATGACCCCAGCGCTGAGGTCAAACAGAATGGGGACTCTGGGGGAAGGGGAGGGAGCCCACAAAGTCTGCCCATAGAACACCATTTTGCATGTAAAGAGTGTGGGGACACCTTCCGCCTTAAAGTGCTCCTTGTTCAGCACCAGAGGGTTCACAGTGAGGAGAAGGGCTGGGAGTGTGGCGATTGCGGGAAGGTCTTCAGGGGGGTGTCAGAATTTAATGAGCACAGGAAGAGCCACGCAGCTGTGGCCACTCAGCCCCAGCCTGGCCCCAGTTGGGCTCTGGGAGATGCCTTGCAAAAAAGGGAGCAAATGGAGAGGGAGGCAAAGCCCTTTGAGTGTGAGGAGTGCGGGAAAAGGTTTAAGAAGAACGCAGGCCTTAGTCAGCACCTGAGGGTGCACAGCAGAGAAAAGCCCTTTGATTGTGAGGAGTGTGGGCAGTCCTTCAAAGCCAACACCAACCTCTTTCGACATCAGAAGCTCCACAGTTCGGAAAAGCCCTTTGCGTGCAAGGCGTGCAGCAGGGATTTCCTGGACCGCCAGGAACTACTCAAGCACCAGAGGATGCACACGGGCCACCTGCCCTTCGACTGCGACGACTGCGGCAAGTCCTTCCGTGGTGTCAACGGCCTGGCAGAGCACCAGCGCATCCACAGCGGCGCCAAACCCTACGGCTGTCCTCACTGCGGCAAGCTGTTCCGGAGGAGCTCAGAGCTCACCAAGCACCGGAGGATCCACACAGGTGAGAAGCCCTATGAGTGCACCCAGTGTGGCAAGGCCTTCCGCCAGAGCTCCAGCCTGCTGGAGCACACTCGCATCCACAGCGATGAGCGGCCTTATGCCTGTGGCGAGTGCGGCAAGGCATTCAGGGGGCCTTCTGACCTCATCAAGCACCGGCGCATCCACAGCGGACTGAAACCCTATGAGTGCGACAAGTGTGGCAAGGCATTCCGAAGGAGCTCAGGCCTGAGCCGCCACAGGCGGATCCACAGTGCGGCCAGGCACTGTGAGTGCAGTGAGTGTGGTCGTGTGTTCAAGAGGCACTCAGCACTGCAGAAGCACCAGCCCTCCCATCACCAGTAGACACTGCCCTAGGACCTGCAGCAGGGGTCCACAGAGGCCATAGCCCAGTCAAAGGAGATGAACAGTTTTGTAGCGCTTCTTCTATCTATTTTGTTGTGTGAGAGGTTGAAATGATTTGTACTGCCACCAGCAATTTATAAATGTTCATGTTTCCCAGTAGACCTATTGAAAGTGACTTTTACCATTTTAACATAGCTTGCCTACTTTTCCTTGCAGAAAATACCATCAAGGTATTTTAATCCTCATATCCAGAACGAGAAGAAAAAATCTGCATATGGGGGTCTAAGTAGGGAGCTGGGGGGTCCTTGCGAAGCTCTACCCCTGAGGGAAATTCAATGGCGTCAGAATGATGATGCACCTTTCTTGAAAGGAAAATTGCCCCGAGGTATTGGCCTACTTGAATTTATAAAATTTTAGGGATTGTAAATAGATCAAATAGCATAATATTTAATTTATTAATTTAGTTATACATACATATTGTAAATCACATTATATGGACTAATATATTAATGTAGAGAATTTACCATACTTTTTCACCATACTCCATTTGTTTCTAACCCTTGATGTACATTTTTTGACCTCACCAACATGGGACCCTGTTTGAGTCATCAGCCACCTCTATTTGTGCTGTGACAGCACTGTGTCAACCCCTGCATGAGGCTTTCACCACAGGTTTCCTCCAAGCCATAAGAACATATTCATATAACATTACAACCATTACTTTGTGTTTTTAAATTAGTACTGGACCTACAACATAATCACATAAAGTGCTGCTTTCCCAAATGGCCTTTTAAAGGGACTTTTTTCTGAGGGGGTGCACTCCTAGTAAAACTTAGTGAGCTAGAGATAAACCTTTTTTTGGTATCTCATTTAGCTAAGCCAATTTAATCCAGTGACCCCTACAAACATCAAAATCAAACATCAGTTGAGGTTTAGCTTCACATGGTATCATCTTGTTCAACATAAAGTGAGAGAGAAGGCCATCTTCAGGACTTAAAGGTAAAGTGACATCTTCCTGGAAGATCCTCATCTCATATCAGGCATAAATGGTACTTCTTCAGCCTTCCATTTGCAGCGGTGAAGTGGGGAGCAGTCACAGTCTCTACCTCCTAAGGTTCTCAAGGAGTGTGCCTTGCTTGCAAGAACATTGCCCAGCAAGGAGGTCTGCTCAGTGAAAGTCACTTGCTGACATCCCACAGCTCATTAGTATCAGAGATAAAGATGGACCCCTCAGGCCTCCTGACTACTAGTCTCATCTTTCATGCAATGATTTCAATACTATTTTCGTTTTCTTGCATGCCAATTATCCATTCATCTCCTTTGACTAGTTATCAAGTTACCTTTGGATATATTGATTTAGTACTTCTTTCTATATCAATTGGAGTGTTACTTTCCAATTTTTATTGCTTTGTTTTTTTTAGTACTTTTATTACATTTTTGTTTTATAGGCTTTGGATTATTTTTACGTATCCTCGAATTCTTTTTTGTCTGTTAACTCATGACTTTCATTGCTTCAGTACTTAGATATGATGATATTTTCTTCGAGAATTTACTTACAAAAGAAAAGTTGAATCCCTTGCCTACTGAGAAAGTGAACATATGGAGTGGGCAGGCTGGCTGGGAGTGGGCCAGAGAAGCAGGCCCATGCCTCATCCAAGATGTAGACTCTGTAAATGTCTCTGGGCAGCCCTTGACCATACAACCTGGCCACTGAGGCACACTAGAGACATGTCCATCACACATTGCTCAGAGCACTCTGTGACTGCTCATCAGCATAGCCCCAGCCACCAGCACCAGGGCTCAGCTTCACCTAGACCAACAGAATGGTCCAAATATGACCTGGCAGCAGCCAGCCATCTTTCCAGCTGTCAGGAGCCTTGATTATTTTGGAGTCAGTGACTGAGCAGCAGCTCCACTTAAGAAATATCTGAGACATAGAAGACTCACCTGACTGGTGATGTTATGTGACCTCCATCCTCCTCCCAGCAAATGACTCTGGAATGAAAGAGATCAGTTTTGTGGCTTCTGCTTTGGGCAACTAGGATGAGAAATTTGCCCATGTGTGTGGCATCATGTCCTGCAACCACATCTAAGAGGCCTGGGGAGAAACAGCCGTGTTCCTCTAGTAGCCTGTAAGCCGTGCCACAGAATCTTGAGTACCAGGTCTAGTTCAGGACTTGCAATAGCCATGCCCAAGAGGGGCAATAAAACAGGATCAGAGGACAAGAAGCCATTCTGACAGTTCATGTAGCATAGAAATCAAATCTGATCCCCCTGCAGTTAGGCTGTTGCTGCGAGCCCCGTTCAGGAGAAACAGCAGGTGAGGAAAATAGCCACACCAAGGTTGAGCCTGAGTTTCTGGTTGTGTCCTGAGAGGTGTTGGAGGGCCAGAAAATGTATCTTATGACAGCCTCGTGAGGGAGATTGTGTTCTCCAAGGTGCATAGCCTGGAAGGGCTCCCTGGGAAGCAAGGTCTGACTGACAATGACCTCCATGATCTTGGTCAGGAGGGCTTCTCTAATGCCCCCAGGCCACCACAGACTGTAGGCTCAGTTCTGGTGGTTTCTTGTGAATTGGTCTGGACCCAGTTTTTCTGATTACTTTTCTCATAGTGAGCTATTGGGACGTTTTTAGTACAGCTATCGTTGGGTAAGGAATGTTTCTTGCTCATTCGCTCATCATTTGTCAAGGTTGGCGAAAGATCTTATTGACGTCTAGAGTAGCACTAACTAAGAAGGTAGCAGAGTGGTCATGGCCTAGTGCCTGTCATAGGGCATGGCATGTCTTCACATCCATTCCTGCCCTCTTATACTCTTTTCTGTTTGGGTTCTGTAATTTTTTCTCAAATGCTTTTTTTTTTCAGATTCAAAACTAAAAACAAGTGTCTTTTTTTGTGACTATTATTGGATCACCTTTTAAATGATGTTGGCAGTGAGATCCCCTCCAAACGCAACCAGTGTGTGGCTTTAACATGTGGCCACACGCATAGTTGCATCCTTTGCCTTGGGTAATGTGGATCCTCTAGGTGTGCTGTTTTGTCCCATGCAAACGTGAGCAAGCTTCTTGCAGTGTGTGCTTGTCTATGCATCCGTGTATCTACCTCATTGCACTTTTCTTTCTAAGCACATGTGTTCTTGAAAGGGGATGGAGAGCAGCTAGAATCCTGGCCCCCGATAGAGAGGTGGCTCCATCTCTTTACCGTATTAAGAAAGAAACCCTCCGTGGCTTTTGTTAGTATTAAATACTTGCTGAATTTTTTTAAAAAGCAAATGTTTACCATTTTGCTGCTTATGAATAACTATATCAATTAGTTGTATCATACCCAGTCTTGGATTTATAGAGTAATCCCCACCAGATCAGTGTGGGCATCTTTCTCCCATGATATTGCATTCTCTGTGCTTGATTTGTGTGCTTGAAGTGGCATGACACCTGACCTGCCTGCAGTCCTGGGCTGTGGCCCTGTTGTGTGCCACGTGACTTGCCACCCCACTTCTGGACCACATTAATTAAACCAACCCCAGACACTTGACCCAAAGGCAGCAACCTTAGCAGTCAGACCTAATTGGAGAAGATAGATTTCTCCTTTTAGTACTGTGAAATGCAAAAGAGGAAACTGAAGTCTCTGGTTGGTATTGGACCATGGAGGAAGGCACAAGGTACTTCAAAGAGTTGCCCCTGTGAGTAGAACCATAGTGGAGAGCTACATGTTCCTGCTCTCCTTCTCACAGCTACTTGGGTTCCACCCTAAGGGAGGCCTAGCTCTAGGTTCTTCATTACTGGCAGCTGCCTGCATCAGTCTAGTGTGTCCTTACCATAGACTTCCTCCTCCTCACCTTCAGCCAGCTTGAGTGGGTCTGTGCTTTTTGAAATTACACAAGAGCCAATTGGGCTGAGAAGACTTGCATTGCTGACTTTCCTCACATTCTACCCACCCGGCATTCCTGGCCTAAATCCCAGTTGATTGACATGCACACCTGCTTAAATGTGGAACTGTTTTCTGTTCACTAAGATGGGTGGAGCTCTATGCCTTTTAGTCAGTCTCTGGGATTAACCCATGATCTTCTGTATGAGTATAGTTCCTTTTCTGAACAGCATTTGGCTCATAAGATGAGCTCACTGGAACCTGTTCTACTCTATTTTGGAAGTGTTTTACTATTTCCAGCAAAACCGCTAGATTAGGGGATTGATGACACCTCTATTCCTAGTGTACTTACATTCTGTAGTTGGCATTGTTGCTTTGGATACTTAATTTCAAAATAGAAATGGTATCTTTGAACTTGATCCTCAATGCTACTTGTGTATCTCTGAGAATAGTAGTGTGTCCCTCCAGTTTGTATTCAGTTTTTGGCATTCTTGTTCTTCCCCAGTCTTATTATCTTGTCTGCTTTATGGCACTGTCTATAATCAGCCTTGCACTAGAGCTGTTTGTGGACTTAGTTTCCCATCCCCTTTTCTCAGCCTTCCCCAAACTAGTAGATTGTGAGCTCTTAGAAGACAGGGGCGGTCCTTCATGTCTAATCCCCTACCAAATCTAGCACAGTGCCTTTCATCTGGTAGATTTCAATAAATATATGTTAAATGGCATAGGTCTTCCTTGACTCATTTTGTCCAGCGCTTTCCATTGTCTTCACCATGAGATAGTTCGCATAGAGAATCACCCGCCTAGTATCCAGCTCAGCTGCCAGCTTGCTCACTGCTGGATTTGGTAATCTTGGCTCTTACTGAACACCTGGAGGGGAACAGGCAGTGCTATGGTAGGGGAGGGAAGTTTGCTTATAGCCATGAGTTGGCTCTTGACAGAAACATCATTTTCTCCATCTCAGTGTAGGCTCCCCAGCTCTGAGTCTGAGATGAAAGTGCTAGGTAAGTCCAGACTTTGACTTGCTCAACTGAAGACCGGGAATGAGGTGGCAAATAGGTTCTGTTTTCCCTGGATTCTGGCGAGGAACCAGATATGCCATCTTTCTTCTAGGATGTCATCAGCACAGGCATCGATTGTTATAGATTTGGGCAGGAATGACATAATGCCTACCTGACAAGCAGCTGTTTCCCAGTGCACCTACCGCAACCCCAGCTTAACTATCTCTGCTCACAAACTAGTTGTGAGGAATGAACCTGTCATTTGCTATCCTGGTTTTGTATGTTACTAGTGATTTCATATTTTTTCCTTAAGTGTGTACAAGCATGGTTCTAGCAAGCTTGAGTTGGCATGAGACAAAACCACAGATCATTCGGATAAGCTAAGCCTGGGTTTGCAATTGGGTACGGAGAGGAAGGGCACAGCCTAGAATCCCCCTCTCTCCTAGTGTTCCTGCCTTGCAAAACCTGACAGCCTCTCCATCACCAGCTTCTGCAGAACAAAACCAAGGGCATCGGAGGAAACAAGGATGTGGGGTTTTGGGCTCTCTTTGGTGGAACATTCAAATATCCAAATATCATGGAGATAATATATGAAGCCTCCTAAGCAGTTCCCCCTTGCCATGGCTGGTATAGGCACTGCCCTCTTCCTTCTATTCCAGATTCCCATCACACCATCTGCCTTGGCCCACTTGGAGCTGGAGGCCTGCCAAGCAGAGACAACTGGCTCATAGAGTGACTTCTGCTTTGATGCTTACTACATTGAACTCCTCTCCCCCAATGTCTCCTGGCACATTTTCCTGAAGACTGTGGAACTGTGTCTCTGTCTGCTCCACCCCCAGGCCTTCCAATAGTTAGGCATACACTGGAAATGCATTTGCATAGAGGGTAGCCACATTGAGCCAGTAGTGGTGCATACCTGTAATCCCAGCACTCAAGAGGTGGAGGCAGAAGGATGTAAAGTTCAGGCCAGTCTCATCTCTAGGACAAGACCCTGTCTAAAAAGCGAAGTGCAATACCACACAATAACATGATTCCAGACTTTTTGGGCAATATGTACCAGAAATATTCCTGTACTTCCTCATTTCTCATCTTTTTTTCTGACCTGTATGCAATATGTGTTTATTGAGCACCTGCTGCATGCTCAACCCCAGAAACACCAAAGCACATGGCATGGTCCTTGTAAGAGAGTCAGGGGCAAGGAAGGGTGTAGACAAAATATCACAAGATGAGTGCTCACTTAAGTTCTTAGGATTTATATACTTTAGTGGGCACAATTTACACTTCAGACCCATCCCGACCTTGTCCCTCCCTCTCTGTCAGATTAGCTTCATTGACATCCCTGCTTCTGTCCGTGCCTATCCCAGGCAGGACCACTCTTACTGAACCAAGGTGAAATCAGTTGTCAGATGTGGAAATCCTATCAAGCTGGTTGGTCCCCAACCAAATGTCACAGTTGCTTGCTGAGCAGCAGGCCATCATGGACTCCAAGGAGCTGGTTCTAAAAGGTCATCACTCCAGCACTTCTAAGGGCTCAGCTACATCATGTATGGGAGGGAGTTCTGATACTGCTTCTCCATCCATCCCTGTCCTCTGTCCCACACACGCCAGTTTCGCCCAGAAGTATAAATTCTTTCTGAATTGTCAGTTCTGCAGAATCTGGAGCTCCTGCTTCCTGGTCCACAGTCTAGAGCCTTCTGGCAATGCCTACTTCTCCTGTTCTATATTGTCATCCTGACTATGGGTTATCTCCCACCCAGAAGTCTTTTAATCTTAGTCCTACCTCCCATACCACATTGTTGTCCTGTACCCAACTGGGAGAGGTACCCCCTGCTTCCAAGGTCCTTTGTGTTACCAAAACAAGACCAAACTGATTATGAGCAACCTATACCCAAAAGCCACTCCCAGGCAGGGCGGAATGCATCTACCTGACCCCTGGTGCTTGGCTATAAGGCTGTGCTTGCTTAGCAGCAGAGAAAGCAGATGTCCTCGGAGAGCACAAAAGGATACAACCCTCCCTCCTCCACTGAAGGTTAATTTCTGGCTCCTTCCTGGGGGAGACAGATGGGACAAGGCTTGCAGCCTTAGCTCTCGGGGACCCCAGTCACAGAGCCCATGGCGGTGCCTATGATGCTGCTCAGCCTGGTGGAGCAGCTTGGGGAGGAAGATGAGGCACTGACCAGCAAGTACGCAGAACTAGGGGACTGGTGTGCCCACAGGATTCTGCAGCACGTCCAGGTAGGCACAGAGAGAGTGGCAGAGTGAACCTCATCCTCCCATTATACAAGGGCCCCTCTGCCTGTGGCCTGTTTCTCCGCCTTTCAGGCAAGTGGATCTATGGAAGCTCGTTCCTTTGCGGTGAAGCTCAGAGAGGTGGAGTCCAAGTGTTTTGGTTACTTGTCTCATTGCTGTGAAAAAAAATACCCCAATAAAATCAATTTACGGTAGAAAGGGTTTATTTTGACTCAAAGTTCAAGGATACAATCCATCATGGCAGGGACAGTACAGAGGTGCTCAGCTAGCTTACTCCTTCTAATGCAGTCCTGCCTCCCAGTCCAGGGAATGGTGCAACCCATAGTTAGGGTGGATTTTTCCACCTCAATTAACCCAATCTAGAAACTCCCTCACAAACATGCCCAAATACTAACCTAAAATAAGGTAATCCCTTATAGCTATGCCCAAAAGTTTGTCTCCTAGGCAATTAATTCTGCATCCTGTGAAGCTGCCAATATAAATCATTACACCAAGTATGTCAGAGATAGAGCTGGATAAAACTGAGTAGGATCAAGGGCTGGAGTGAGGGGCTGGGGTCTGGAAACGTTCTGAGACAGGAAAACCAAGCCCTCCCTGTTTCTTGTCCCTTCCAGGGGACAGGTAGAGGGCTGTCAACCTGCTTGGAATTGGCAAATGGTGTCAGATTCTCGAAGGTAAGGGATCCAATGAGCCCTCCTCCATTGACCCAGAAGATTCCTGCTATGCTTTGAAAAGACTTTTTTTTACATTTGTTTACTTTTTTAGTGTGTTCACATTGGTTTGGAAGTGCATACAAACTTCACCACCCACAGTTTTAGTGTGTTCACATTGGTATGAAAGTGCATATAAATATCACCACCCAATTTTAGTGTGTTCACATTGGTATGAAAGTGCATATAAATATCACCACCCACAGTTTTAGTGTGTTCACATTGGTATGAAAGTGCATATAAATATCACCACCCAGTTTTAGTGTGTTCACATTGGTATGAAAGTGCATATAAATATCACCACACACATTTGGAGGTCACAGGTGATTCTCTCTTTCCACCAGAAATAGAACTTTGGTCAGCAATTGGCAGCAAGCGTCTTTATCCACTGAGCCATCTCACTAGCCGCTGCCATGTTTTATTGTTTGCTAGGATGTGCCGTGCTGTGGAGAGATTTCCTGTTTTAGCAATAGCGGCAGAAAAGAAGCCGCGGGGTCATTTTAAAACGCGGCTTCCTAGGGCTGTGCCGCCAGTGCAAACTCTGGCTTTAAAGCATTTCAATGGCTTTTATGAGACTGGATGTTTGTGTTCCCGCTCTGGATCAGGAAGAAAGTACTCTGAGACTATGCCATGGCTCGGCGCTCCCTGCCTGGGAAGACGGCAGAATCAGGCTTAGGCAGGCGGGAGAGCATGGTGGATTTCTGCCACCATACAGAGAGATGTTTCCAGGCTTCGCAGCAGTCGGCATGGCAGATTTGGATGTAACTCAGATTAAAAACTCATTCTCAGAGTTAAACTGCTACGACTTGCTTGATGGCAATGTGGACTTGTTGTGTGCCTGGAACTGTGCGCGGCTCAGGGGCACCAAAGGGCTCTGAGGCAGGAGTGACTGCTCCATGCTGAACTGTGCTGACCTCAGGCAGGAACTACCGTAATTACCATAATAACAGTGCAGTTAAGGTTTAGACTGGGCAGGAAACAGGCGGTACCATACTGTATTGCCTTTACATGGCGCAACTTAAGTTTTTAAGAAGTGCTTAATGTTTTATGAAATGCTCCTGGACAGAAAAGAATTACAGATACACAATAGGACAGATTCAGACATAGAAGACCTCTAAATGGGTCACAGTGTTGGATGAGTGTACATAGGCTTGAGAGAGAAAAGAAAAAGAATATAGGAGAATAAAGTTAATGATTTAAAAAAGGGGTAAAGACTTTAAAGAGACAGAATAAAGTGATAGAGTAAAAATAAGCCACATAAAAATGGAAAATTCACAGAGAGTCTGGATTATGTGCATTGTGTTTTCTTTAAAATTTTTGACTGTAAAGGAGCTAAGTACAGAGAGACATTTCATTATATGGGCTGCCAAGTGGAACCAGAATAGATATAATGAGGGTATGTTTTCAGAATTTGGGTCTAAGGATATGATGCTTTGGAGAGGGTCTTCTTTTGTTTCAACAGAGGATGAGATCCTGTGGATTGTGTCTATCCCAATATGGTATGATGGACCACGCCCTCCTGAAAGGTTGCTGTGAACACCCTCAAAAAATTGCTTCACTCAACTGCCAACTGAGATGACCCTGGCACACACGTTATATCATGAAAGACCTAAATAACAGCATCCCCATACAGCATGAAGCAGTTTTGGAGAGAAAAGACTGTGCCCATATTCCCAAATATTGTTTATAAATGTTCTTTTACATTTAAAGGGGGATATGATATAGATATGAATAATTTGCATTGGTATGGATTTTAA